GAAATTGATTTTATTAGTAGACGAAATTAAACCTGACGAAATGACGAAACTCTTGACGAAATCTTAATTATTAGTGAATCCATTAATATTGAAGAACAAGAAAAGCTTTTAAGGATTGAGCATGAAAAGCTTGCGATTCAGAGGAATAAAAATAATAAGTTGGAAAAAGAAATTATGTTGCGAGAAAAACTTCTTAAGCTTTTAAATAATTGAACTTTTAATTAATATGTACTTTGCAGATTGTTATATCAATATATAATAATAATATAACGTTATTGTTTATTAAATTAACATTGCAAATACGAAACGTAAGGCATGTCTAAATTAATTACACATTTAAAATTTTAATTTATTATCGTATCTTTATATAGTAAACCAAATATATATATGAATGCCGCTAAGGGAAAACCTATTATTAGAATTTCAAATTTATAATTTTACCGGTCACAATCCCTAACAAATGAGATAGATTGAGTCCGGCAAGCAATAAACTTGAAACCCCATTTTCCTTTGGCGGCACTCTTATAAATTTTAAAAGGCTTCCGGCAAGATATTAAAACATTTAACGTATCGTACTGTACTGTTATTTCTATTTTTATTTATATAATATAAAACGGTGTACTGTACGGATATAGTATATTTAAAATCAAAATACAGTACGAAAATTTATCTCATTGATACCAAGGGTTTAAAAAAAAATCAATTTTAGTACAACATTAAACATGAAACAGAGTATATTGAAATTTTATAGAAGTTAATAATCCATTATAATGCTAAGATAACGAAGCAGCTAACAACTTGATAAAACTTTCGAATGACGTATTTTCAAATACTAAGCAAACTTTTATTTTTGTATACTTGTTATACACTAATACTTTGTGTTAATGACATCAAAAAAAAGTCGAAGCTGAGCTAGCTAGTTGAACACGATTAATTTTTCACGAATCACACATTCTACTAATTTTGACTCAAAATTTACAATAGCTTTTTTGTCAGAACGTAACGAAAATATGTTAGAAGCTAGTAAAATATCTGCAACTTTCTTGTCATTCACAATCGTCTGAAATTCAATAAAGCCAATTTGCCCTTTCTCGAGTAAAATCTTGATTATTTTTTTTGCAACATTATGGTAATCGCCTCCAGGAAGTATCATAGCTTTATTAAAAACTTTTACATGATCTTCCATGATTTTTCTTTGGTTTCTATGTTCGATGAGAAAATATATGAGTACAC